ACAATTCATTGAGTAATGTGATTGCTAGGATTGCTCGGAAGTCATTGAATTAATTTGACAAGCTTTATTATTATAGGTTATCGTATATTCTTGCCACGCTGAGAATAAATAATTTTTCTGACATAATGGAAATAAATTAATTATCTTATTTTTACTGATTCTTTTCTTACTCTTTATATTTATAGCAATTTATAGAATTTGACGATTCTTTTACTTGTATCTTTATCATTAACCAGGCCTGCGGCACACATATATATACAGGTAATTACGCTCAAAAGCTACTCATTCAAATCTTCTATGTTAGAACTACCCACTCTGATAAAATTAAAGCTCAGAAGCAATAATCTAGTAAGTTTTATCGTCCAATAGTTTAATATTTATATTAAAGCATAGATCAGAAATAGCAATCCTAGTTCAGTTTTATCTATAAACAATTTTAATTTTTAAAGTCTTGCAGCATTTAAATTATTAAATTTTAAATTTTTTTTTAACATTTCAATAAATGCCAGATTCCAAATAGTTATGCTGTAGTACTTTGTGTCTAGATCAATTTTGTTGAAATTGTCTAATTCATTTTTAATTTTTATATTTACTGTTGATAACTTCAAGATTTTCTGCTCAGCTTTCTTTTGCACTGAATTATTTCTAAGATTAGGAAAAGATGGCTCTAGCAAAAGCAACGTCCATTACTATAACACTCATGATGATGATAAGTTGTTTCTATCCCGCTCAAGTGACGGCATGTGGTCCTGCACTTTATCAGGATTGGTTAAAATTACGCGGATGCCAACCACGTCAAGTTGCCTTGAAAATCTGTGAAGGTTGGTGTACTTCTTTTACAAGAGCTAAAAGCTACGGATATTCGACTACAGTTTGTCATCGTTGTGAACCTACTGGATTTAAGAAGATTCCCATCACAGTTATGTGCGATGGTGCACCTCGTGTAGAGTATCTTCGTTCAGTGACAGGATGCAGTTGTCGTAATCATTAGACTGCTTCCTATAAATGATCTTATACGCTAAATCATCGTTCTTCTGAGGTAGAATCAGTTGATTAAGGAAGGATTTAGTATATGCTGAAGTATTATGGATGCTACAACAACAATTTGATAGACTGTCATCGTGAACTCTTTAACTGCTGAGCTCTATTTAATCCGATTCTATCACATCCGTATCCGCTATGCCAATATTAAATGAATCTAGTATCATTTGAAATATGGAATATTTATTTCTCATTAGCATTATTTCAATGAGGAGAAAATGTTCTTATATCAGCCATAATGATATAATATAATTTCATTGATCTATACCGTCACTTAGAACGATCTGTGTGCGTAGTTAATTATGCCTTTGTTAAGTTTTACCAAAGGGCTCCTTGTAATCTTGCCCACAATTTGTATAATGATACGCAACATCCTTCATAATTACACTATTGTCAAGTTAATTTATGATTTCTAATTAGAAGATTATAATATTCTGATAGTGTCAAGACCAAACTGCTAAATTTTCATAGGTTGGAGTGTTTAGGTGTAATATTCTCGCTCTATCATAGAATCTATCCTAAATATGCCTCTATTATTCACTTATAGTAGGGTAGCATAATAGTTTTGCTATCCTATTGGATAAATAACTACACATAGCAATAGAATTTAACTCTAGACATCCTTTCAACAGCTGCTTATAGTAGTGTAGCATAATAATTGTATTATTCATACAGGATAATAAAATATTTGTGTCAAGATGAATGCTTTTGATGTATTCTATCGATTAAATCTCAGGTCACTGGTTAAGTGTGCCGTACATAATGTTCAAAAATAAGTCGTCTATATAGATTAATGCTTGTCGATAACAATTTATTTGATACATTACTTTACGCGTCTATAGATATTTCTGTTATTGAAGTATACCAAAGGTAATACTTGAATGTGCACGCTACAATATATTTTATTTCGGTAGAATTAAGCCGTGTTAGCAGTAGTTCAAGGAATAAAATCGACTGGCTAGAGCAAAATAGCCAAATAACCTACTTCTCATCATATCACAAAGCTTCCTATAAAACATTATATGCTACTCAGCATATAATACACACACTAACCGTAATGGCAATATCCTTCGGTCAAGGTTCTAATTTTACTATTTCCATTTCTAAATATATTTTTGCTAAGAAATACTCTAGCTTCACTAATTGCATTATTACGATTCGTTATAGATTTATTACTATTACAAAACGAAAATATCAAGGTGCGATCCCTAGTAGTAGATCGAATCGTTAATTAGTGCACTCAGTCGTACTAGATACGGACGCTAAAAATTTATGCTGCAAATATGATGCTACTGAGTAGTATTTAATTCAATTATTTTGGTCCTGTCTATATTGAAGTCTACTAATTTACAAAAATATTGTGCTTTTCTGAATATACTTTCTAATATAATCTATTTTCCGGCTGCTATCCCAATGTTACGTAATAGCCATTAGTAGCAAATATCTACTCTATTAATTAGGTAAGCCCAAAGTCTAAAAGTCAGTTGTTGGTCTTATCAACTTGCTAACGGAAATTTAAAAATTTTAGATGGCACCATAATGAATTCAAGCCAAGTAACAGATATATTATTCTCCTAATGTTTTTAGTCTAACATGTCGAGCTTTCTTGTACCAGGATATTGCATACTGATACTGACACTGCTGTTGATAAACTAGTCCAATGGTGTTGTAGGAAGCTGTAACTTTTTAAGTTATTCTTTACTACCAATTGTAATTGAATATTTGTACCTTTATTAAACATCGATAAAGAATTTACCTATTCGTTCTGGTAATAATATACTGATCCAATTTTATTATATATATTAGTAACGCCTAAGTTATTTTCTCCTAGTACATACAATTGAACTTTGAGGCATTTTTGATACCAAGATAGCGCATCTTTGTATTTGCATCGATTCAGATGGATAAATCCAATTCTTTAATTGAGGTAGCAGTCATTAAATGGCATTCACCCAATACTTTGAGACCGAGATTGAGGCCCTTATAACAATTTGATATAGCAGCGTCGTATTTACAATCTTTATGCTAGATATAAGCGATCGTACTGCAAGTGGTATTTTTACGCATTTCCAATCCATTGAAAGAGCATCCTCATCTTTGCCTTGACTATAATAGACAGATCCAATATCATAGTATCGATCTGCAATATTTGAGTTCTTTTCTCCTAAAATTTCCAACTGCACATTTAAGTTGTTGAAGTATCTGGATAAAGCATCATCATATTGACACTGTTAATAAAGAATTTTTTCCAATAATGATATAGGAAACAGTAATATCTAAATATGATGCTCTCCAAATAGCTTTAGTCTAATATTTGAGGCTTTAGTATATTTAAAGTGAGCATCTTTAGCTGACTTTTCGGTTAATTTCCAATATAACTTGGAAGTAACTACAGGCTGGTCGCCTTTGTAAATCAGCTAATGCTGTATGGTACCGCTTTTATTTGGTGTATTGCGATTATAGAGGTTGAATACTGGAATGCATCCAGGTTTGCTACTTTACAGTGTTGTATATATACATATTAAAACAGATAGTTTACAGCATCGGATTAATTTGACGGTGTTGTACATATGAAAACAGATAGTTTACTGTATTGGATTAGTTTTACGGAGTTATACATATCAAAACGGATACTTTACTAAAACAGATACTATATCAAAATAGATAGTTTACTGCATCGGATTAATTTTACGTTGTTATACATATGAAAACAGATAGCTTACTGCATCGGATTAATTTGACGGTGTTGTACATATGAAAACAGATAGTTTACTGCATTGGATTAGTTTTACGGTGTTATACATATCAAAACAGATACTTTACTAAAACAGATAATATATCAAAACAGATAGTTTACTGTATCGGATTAATTTTACGTTGTTATGCATATGAAAACGGATAGTTTACTGTATCGGATTAATTTGACGGTGTTATACATATGAAAACGGATAGTTTACTGTATCGGATTAATTTGACGGTGTTGTACATATGAAAACAGATAGTTTACTGTATTGGATTAGTTTGACGGTGTTATACATATGAAAACAGATACTATATCGAAACAGATAGTTTACTGTATCGGATTAATTTGACGTTGTTATACATATGAAAACGGATAGTTTACTGTATCGGATTCATTTGACGTTGTTATACATATGAAAACAGATAGTTTACTGTATTGGATTAATTTGATGTTGTTCTACATATCAACGTAATATAGGATTGTATAGGAATTGAAGGCTGCAAAGTATATTAAATTGGCCCTCGTCCTATCAAATCTAGATTGATTTTGTTTCCATCCTATACTGTACTCTACTCTATAGTGGACTAGTATATTGTACTGTACTGTACTGTGCAGTACAGCGGTAAATTGCCATAGACAGTGCATATGCGCTCGCTCGGTCGAACTCATTTTTGCCAGTCACGCCGTCATGCCTGTCTGTAAGCGCACTGGTTTTTTTTTTTACCCAACACCCTACTGTACACCATGCAGTATGCTGGTGACACCTCTACCCCATACTGAGTACTGTACCGTACTGTACTGTACGTGTACTGTATTTTTCTTCCCCTTCTTACCTCCATCGTGTTACAGTCCAGTACAGTCATGCGCAGACGTCTTTAGTCCAACTGGAGTGTACAGTATCACTGTTGGTATGAAGTACAGTACTAAGTACTTGGTGAGTAGAGTACAAATACTGTACTGTGAATCTTAGATCGTCAAAAGTGGAGAAAGCGCCACATTGCATTCTTGGCGCATGCGTACTGCTTTCTCACTTGGTCAGACTACGTATGTACAAGTGGACGGAAAGTTGCAAAGTGTTTTCCTCTCTGGTAGTAATGGTTAAAAGCCTTATAAATTAGTATTTTATTTATTTAAATTGGTAATCTCCTTTTCAATGCGCCATCGCGTTAACGACAGAAGTAAAGTCAAATTAGCACGTCATAAGAAGCCAATCTTCATGGCCATCGGTGCTGTATTTTTGATAGTCTTAATTTACTACGCTCGAGGGGGAGATGCTGCCTCGTCGTTTGATCCCGATTCACCGTTATCCAGCTTGAAATCGACCACTGCCTTGAACGGTGATAGGCATATTTATGCTGCTATGTTAGATGCTGGAAGTACGGGTAGTCGGATTCACATTTATCACTTTGCTAAAAGTGAACAAGGTAGGATAGGATGATTGTAGAAATAAGGGCAAGATAGAGCATGTATGTGGAGGCTATCATTTGTGCTAACTTGTATCGTTGTTCAAGGATGACGAATGATAACTTTGCAGTTGAATTGATGACGTACACACTAATGAATAACGCATATTACTCTTCTGACTGACTACTATCCATCAACTTGGTAAATTAACCCTTTACCTCGTGTCCATTCAAGACAAGAACTTGTAAAATCTCCTTCATCATCATCACATGGATAACTGAATCGAATTGTCCATAGTTATGATGTTCAAGGACGGATCCCCCCTCCCTACGCAATCCACATCGAGCCAATAAGACGATCCATACTACAATTTCTTTTCTATGAATGGACGAATGGACTATGTCATTAAATTGTACTGGGTTGTCTGCTTCATCAATCATCCCATCATGGAATACCTGTAGGCAATGGTAGCCTTCCTAGTCTGTACCAAATTGCTAATATGCCTTGTTTTTCCCTTCCTCTTGTCCATCTCGGATAATACTGTACAAGTAGACATCGCACAACCATACCTTAATCGTGACAAAGCGTTAGACGTAACATATTCAATGCTTTCCTAATATTCTCCATGTGCAAAGATTCCATCGCTTTCTTCCAATACACAGTAGAATTGCAATTTTTAGCTAATCGACGTGTCTAATTGACATGATACACAGACTAGACGTACAAGTATGTATATCTTGTTGGTCCTACTCTCCAATCTTGACTAAAGTTAAATTGAATAGGAAATGACTCACCTGGTACGACGTCTACTCCACGCACTTATACCTTATACATATAGCCGGATGGCATGATTTGGCGCTACATTCAAGGCAGCCATCTAAAACTGTTTCCATTTTCTACAGTATATTGATCAACTATACTGTACAACTAGCTGAAGCTGTCATCACCTACACACAGTTACAATACCAAATCACTAAGACAACTTTTATCATTGTGTTTAGGCATTTTAAGATTAATTGATGAATACTTTAAGGAAAATCAACCTGGTATTGGTGCTTTTGCTAATAATTCAGAAAAGGTAGAGTATTTTTGACTGCTACAGTAAATCCAGAACGATATCTTGATTTCACCTTACTGGACTATTCGATCGATCGCTAATGGTGGTTCTAATATCAAAATCGGAGTAAATTTGTTCATTAAGACTATGCTTAATTCTCTACTCATGGGCTCATACTGTAGGCCGGTGAAAAAATTCAAGCTTTGCTCGATAGTGGAATGCCTAAAATTCCGAAAGGCCAAGTCTCATCATGTCTTATCAACTTATTTGCAACTGCTGGATTGAGACGATTACCGGAAAAACAGTCCAACGCTTTATTAGATACGGTATGCAAATATTGTGGTCAGCATATTATATCGGTACGTGTTGAATATTGAAGGTTCTTATACGATACATAGATTCGTGAAGTCATTAAGAAATCACCCTTTAAGAAGCCTAAAAGCTATGTTTCTATACTTAGTGGAGATAATGAAGGTTAGTACTAATAAATGTCATTGTTTGTTTTTATGGCATGCCTGTTTTGATGGCAGGGTTATTTAAATGGACATGATCTGAACTAAAATAGTCAATGGTTTTTTTAGTTACAAAGTATTCAACGTAATGAGTGCATAGGTAGTATAATCTACGGAGCAGAACTTATAGTCACATTTATGCGTATTTTTAGGTATCTATGCTTGGCAGACGCTAAATTTCTTAACAGGTATATTTTATTCTGAGTTAATAGCCAACTCGTGTAACATGATGAGAGATTCCATGACGTTTTAACGTTCTTTCCTTAGGTACACTGAATAGCTCCAATACTGAGGCATCGTATGGAACGCTCGATCTTGGAGGTGCATCGACTCAATTAACCTTCGCAGCAATAGATGAGGTTGATAATCATTAGATATATCATTAAAATGTTGACCGGATATTAATTAATATAGCGTTTAATATTTGTGATAGAATAATTCACTTCTTGATGCTTCGTATAATATACTTCTATTATCCGCTTGGAAAATCATTGCGTCTTTCGTTTTGAAAATTAGAAAACTCTAAAAAAATTTAAGGAGGACATTAAGACTGATGAAGTGCTAGAACAAAAATTTCGGCTATTTACTAAAAGGTAAAGAAGTATTACCATTGTATGTTATACATATAATGATAATAGTCAGGGGTTATCTATGACTGTCCTTCTTTACTCAGCTATCCTATCAATTGGTAATAGCCTTTAACGTTTCCTTTACTTTCATTTCTTATAGCTACAAAGATATGGGCCTGAAAGTAGCCAGAGTAAAAGTACTAGCTGCAAATCCCAAAAGTTTGTACCATACACTTGGCTAAGATATATTTTATTTTGCCAAAAGGTCTGGCGTAATAATTAACTATAAATTTTTTCGAATTTGCAACGTAGGCAAGGATGGTAAATTTGTTACTGCCTGCTCCCCATCTGGAGCAAAATTTTCTTGGAAAGACTTTGGTGTGGAAAATAATGTGAGGTTTGTACTCAACATAAATGTTAATCCTGTATGTTCTTTTATTCTGAAATTTCTGTTGAATGTATTTTTCCGTAACTCGATATGTCTTTTACTTTGATTGATAGTAACCCTTCGGATGAAAAATATGGATTTGAGGAATGTATGAAGGAAGTAAAAAATTACCCGAAAACGGATAAGATTGGTACTTACGTCAAATTACTTCAATATTATACGTAAACATTATTTTGGTCGTATTCTTACAAAGATGATAATAGTTCTTTTCAATGTAATTTAAATGTGTTCTGTAGAGGAGTTGAAAGTTCGGAAAGCTTATGCTTTCTCATATTATTACGATATTGCTGTTGATCTTCACCTTATTGGTAAGTAGGCAGTATGGGGTGTATTTCTGAGGTTGTGAGTGTTGCTGCTACTACTTAGTATAAAGCACGTATTATGTATTCATTGCAGGTGCAAAAGGTGGAGAAATCGATATACAGAAGTTTTATGATGCAGCAAAGATAGGTAAACGTATTATTGACACACATGTTCTGCCTAGTTTTACTTAAAGGAATGAATTATGTGTATTGTTAATGACTTTTGCATCGATGGTATTAGCAAATTGATGGTAACGTTTTCAAATTTGGTCATTTTTAGAGTGCAATAAACCTAAAAGAGATCACGATATGTTATGTTTTGATTCCGTGTACATTATAAATTTATTGACTGAGGGTTTTGGATTGGATTTGCAATCTAAATTAACTGTAAGTAAAAAAAGAGTTTGTTAAAATAATCTGTAGCGAGCGGTTGATATTACATCAGCCATTTATTACTAAATTTAAAATTGTTGTTGATTAGAATGCCTCGCAATTAACAATATTTCTATTCTTGTTTATAGATTGGAAAGAAGATAAACGAATTTGAATTATGTTGGGCATTAGGAGCTACTTTGGAAATGTTAGGAGAGTAATCGTTTTCGTGATAAAATATAGCACGTTCTATAAAAATGTGATGATAAAATCTTAATTAAAATGAACTGGGTGTCCGTAATTTTATTTAACATTAGCAGTACATTAGAGCTGTAACTGCGGTTGCGGATGGTTATAACTTATCGATCAATGAGCGTACCAGTTAACTGCAGATTGCGATTTTTAGAGCTAATGTGTTTGACCTTATTACCATCACTCTAGCACTTTCCTACATTGTGTAAGGTCAGAGTTGTAAGTAGTGCATAATTTCAACAGCTGCATTTTACGTTTTCATAGGGCTTATGCACCTGTTGATACGCGTACATGCCTCGATCTAGAGTGCAAAATTACAAATGTAAAGAATAGGCAGATTCTTTTTACAGATTTAATGCATCGCTTATAGTAATGAAGTCATGAAATATTGAATAATGATATGACATTAAGAAAATCGCACAGATAAAGAAATAGAAAAGCTTAGTAATAAATTTTTGGAAGCGAAATGTCGGTCAATAAATAACTGCTATGATAACTTACCTTTGAAGCTTACATCTAAATACAATGATTAGATAATATAGAATAAGATGATCGAAAAATTATTCTTTACGGTTAGCAATGTATTCTTAGCTAAGTGTCTGCAATGGCTCTGGGTGATAGTTTTAGTAGTTATGAGATATGCAAGTATATTATGTAATAAGACTGTAACTGTATAGAAAGTTTTTAGCATATCAGATATTCGTCTATCCAAAATAAAATGCGTTTGATCATCTGTAAACGATTCATGATCGCCTAAATACGTAACAGTACTACATTTAGGGACAGGTAAAATTTATTATTAATATTATTTATAGCCTGACTATAAGCGTTTACTTGAATAGTATAGTAAAGTCACTCTTCGATGTACTGTACATATAAATACCGGCAAAGTAAAATAGTTAAAGTAGGTAAAGAGTTGATGTATAAAAATAGCCCATAAGGTAAAAATAAGAACTGTAGCGGATAGAAGTAGCTAATTAGCTATAGCCTAGTCAATACAAACTTTTCATCCTTGATAATAAAATATCTAAATGAATAAAGTAATTATATATACATTCAAAAATACCCCTTTACAAAACCGGAAGTTGTTATGGGCTGCTGTTTGGTAGTTATTTAAATCTGCGATCTAATCTCTACTATGTGTAAAACTTGGTGTAATTGCTTATTTTTACTAATAAGGCTCCGTAATAAAGCAATCGTATAACAGTTTTATTATGTCATTACCATATTTCATTTTTACAAGTTGGAAGAAGAACTTTCCATTGTAAACCTTGGCTAAATATTACGTACATATTTTATCTTAAACTTAAAATTCTATGATATTTTGTCGCTACAGAATATTTACAAGATTGATACATTACTACAGGGTAGTCAACGTACAGAAATTGAGAATATCATATAAGACTATGACGTAATAGTATGTATAACATATATATATACAAAATTTAATCTTCTTTAATTATACTACCTTATTGATCTAAGCGAATTGTTAATAATACAATCAATGATACCATACGCATAATAATAGCTTTAAATATGCATACGTGATATGTACTTTCATAGTTGACAAAATCAATTGCATTTTATACTAATAGATCAATAACATTCTTAATTTTTAATCGATAGTATGATCATATTATCAGTACTTCCACTTTTAACAACGTATTTGTACGAGGTTGTCACACATACTGTACACAATTATCATCATTCGTCAACCACTAAGAGTGATACATAATCTTTGTAGTAGATGACACCTTTTTCTTGATCAACAGCTGCAGATTTCATTTCTTCTAATTCATCTTGAGTAAATGCTTCCCCTGTAATATACGTTAAGTGAAGAGAATCTTATCAGATCACCATGTTATGTTGAGAATCAATTTCATCTATTATAGGTATAAACATTTAGAGAAAATTATCTACTGATTGATTAACTAATTAAATACCATATTCGGTCATAAACTTAGTAATTTCATCAATTGTTAAATGTTCTTTATGCTCTTGATCCAACACCTGATTTAATGAAAGAAAGTAAAATGATATGGTATGAATCAGTACGAACATTGGCAAATATGATACTATATGACTGTACAGAAAATAGATAATGTTAGTAAACTAGCAAGGATAATGCATTAGCATTTGTCAGTTACACTTTAGTTGATTGCTTTCGTTACTATTGGCTTTAAATTTACCTCGAGTGCTTTCATAAGAATATCTTCACTTTGGGGCTTATATCTACGTTTGAAATTATTAAAGAGTGTATGAATGATATGCACTACAGTTAAACTTTTAAGCGATATATTAAATAAATATTGAGATTTGTTAAAAGTCATACAGCAGATGATACTATAATTACGCTTCATGTACAATATATATAATGTACATCTACATAATACGCAATATATTATTGTTGCATTCTAGTATTTACTTACTTCCTTTCGAGGATAACTTTCATCATGACTGGTTCAAATTTTTCGTATTTAATGTATCCAGTTGGTTCTTCTTCTTCCATCTATCGTAATTATTATAATGATAGAAAATATGATATCTTACGATATACATAATTAAATGTGACCAACATAGTATAAGTTTATAAATGCTCTCGCATTAAGGCAAGGACTGTACCTCTGTGATCATATCATTCAATTCTCCTTCACTTGGACAACAATTTAGTGACCGAATGATCGTACCTATTTCTCTAATAAATTATAGCATACGACATTTAACGTATAGCATATGACTTTTTAAATTTTATTTAATTAAGAAATACATTTATAATCAGTATTGAGCAAAGTTTATAGCACTACTGTAAGTACATCGATTTTATGCATGAAGATCATTCTTAATGTTCTATAACATGCTAATTGCTTAGATAGATATATGTTTAACAAGATTAAATCAATTATAACATAAATCCTACATTAATGCAATGGATATTTAATTGCTAATCTAGGAAATATGACTGTGACAATTGCGAATGAGACTTATGAGTGAGAAACGTATTTGTAATTAATATCTAAGCAGACATTTAGATCTGTAGATAGGTTGATTTTAAGTGTTAAGATCGTCCTTAATGTTTCATATCTGCGCTAATTGTTTTGATAAGAATATGCTGAGTAATACTCAATCATGATATAGCCTCTACATCAATGCAATGAATAATAAGTTTATACTAAGGAAAACACAACTGCAATAATTGCGAATGAATGTACTTGAACGAAGTTTATAGTTGTAAGTAGATTAGCTATACTACTATTTAAGAAGCTGTATGATGCTCAATAGCCTATCTGACTAGATTGGTTTGATAGTTATATACATATTTGAGATTGAATCAATTTTATAATATGTTCGTCAATAATATTTATAGAACAAGACCTGCAGTTGAAAGTAAATTGATTATTAATATTAAGAAGCTGTATGATGTTCAGTAAGTTATCTGTTTGAAATTATTCGCTAGTTGTATATTCCTTTCAGATTCAACTAGTTGTATAAATTTACAGCAAATAGAAACTTTATGTTGCGGCAAATACATTATCATCGACTAACAATATACATTGAATATCAATGACAATAAATTTGGAATCAGTATTAGACTAAACTTTGTAATTGAAAATCAATTTAACCTAATGATTGATCCATGATGTTGTATACCGGACGCAATAGTCTAGAAAGCCTAGAATCAGTACTGGACTAAACTTTTACAGTTGAAAGTCAATTTAAGGTAAGGATTGATCAATGATATAGTACGCCTGATATAATGGACTAGATAAGCCGAATAGGCCTTTAGAATCTTGTTGGCCTAGTTTTGTTTTGTTTATGATTGATTCATCATCACCCGGATTTTATCCCATCCATACATTCATGTACCGCATATTGCTCTTTCTACACGTACTATTCAAGCGAATTACCTAACATCCACGGTTTTATTTCCTTCATGATCAAATATACTAAAAGCATCATAGACTCTCTTTTGAATTTCAGCCCTTAAATTTTCATTTTCCGTCGCTCGATCGCGTTCCGCTTGAGAAAGTAATGCTGCTGCACTTGTCGCCATCTTGTGCTGTCTTAGTCGCTATGACGACCCATCAAGCATGCGCATTTCTAGTCTCCCGATCGGGACCTGTTCTGGCGCCGCGTTCTCGTCTGTCGTCGACTGACAGACAGACACCCACGCTATCACCATCTCTAGAGCATGCTCACTTGGTGCACGTGGGGCTATTCATACTAAAGTGTGCTTTCCACTGCTTTTGTATAGTGAAAGGGAAAAATTTGGTCTAGGGGTCGCCATCTTGTCTTGTGCAGTCAACAGTTGGATAAGTTAATTCTTCTCACAGATCCATTAGGTAATGATTGATTCGTTATTAAAATTGGCCAATGATTGCCACTATGGTTAGATTAGAGATGGATAGAATTATTAGAGATTGATCATGTCATGATAGGATTGTTTTAGGCAATTTTTTGCTAGTGATTGGATGATTTTTTTGTGTAGTCGATGAGTGCGATGAGTAGGAAAAAACTGAAAAAAAATGGCTTACGCTTGTTTTTCTCTCCTTTTAGATTGTATTTTTTCCCTTGTTTTAGTTATTGCTACTATCATTGAATGATTGTAACATGGATGAACAACAAGCAAGAAAGCTAAAAGTGGTTGAATTGCGAACTGAAATCAGTAAGCGTGGCATCGTTCCAAAAGGTAATAAAGCGGCATTATTACAGACGTTATTGAATGCATTGAAAGAAGAAAGTGAAAATTCACCCCAACAAGAAGAACAAGCTATTGAATCGCCAGTACAAGATACTAGTGACAATGAGAAAGAAGTAGTACAAGTACAGTCGTCGTCGATTGAGGAAGAAATGGATGTTAGCCAACAAGATACTACTATCGATGATACACTGGATGCTCGACCATCTCCTTCTAAACGACAAATGGCGAAAAAATCCGCACGTAATCGTCAAGCTAATGATGCCGCTAATGCAGATGATAATCAACCATCAACACCGATTCAGAATATCTCGGTAGTAGAAGAGGATCAATCAACGGATGCAATACAAGCTACCATTGATCAGCGCGATATTGAAGGTAATGCTAGCGTCTAGCAGTGATGTCGAATTAAAGAAAGGAATCGATATCAGTCAAAATGACCTTAGTTAGACGCCAATTTAACGAGGTGGTAGTACAAAAGATAGTTTTACAATCGATCCTTCATCATTGAAAGATGAAGTTTCAAATCATTGCTACTGAAATACGGTGATGATAACGAGAATGATTCTATCTTTAGATAAAGTTACTAGACAGTATAGAACGCTAGAAAACGTGAATAGGAAGACGTTGTTGACTAGTGCATGCATAGGACTAGGCAATACCTGGTCCAATTAAAGTCGTTATAGATAGATCATCGTCTGGAATTCATTTTTCAATCATACTTGTCATCTAATTTACGATCTTTTTTTTTATTAATTTTAGAGAGTGATAGTAATAATGCACAACAAGTAGAAGCTACAAGTCAAGCTACGTCGGAAAAGGAAAGTGACAAAGGAGTTGAAGAAGCCACCAATGAAATGGCTGCTGTTGTTGATTCTAAGCCTATGGTTGAAGAATCTACGGGTGATAACGAAGTAAATAAAATGGAACAGCCTGAGCAAAGCATGACTACTGCTGTTGGTGGTCGTAAACGTAAAGCTGATGAAGCATTGGATAATGCTGATGATAGCAAAACTGGTCAAGATCAGGATGAGGGCAATAGCGCTGCTGCTGATGACGATATGCCTGCTTCTACTGTAGAAGCGGATAGCAAGTCTACATCACGACAAAGGTTAGTTATTTTACTTGTCGAATTACCAACTATCTAATTCACCTTCCGTGCTTGATGGGAAAAAATTTTTGAACTTATCTATTTGATAGCCTTATATGTACAGAAGTGGGTTAACGTCTTCATAAGGAAGAGTTACTTGTTTGGGGTCATAAGGACTTAATTAGGATATACGCTACAGTCGAATAAAAAAACGATAACAATTCGATGCAATGTTATTTGTAGTACTTATTGAGTGTTGCGATTCATCAATCTTTACTTACAATTACATATACTGTAAATTACAGTCTAGTAATTATTGTATCTTTTGTTAAATGTCATGCTGCTACTATTGATCTAATCAATATCACACATCAGATTTTATCATGTCAAATTCCAATCTAAAATGTTATCTTCTTTGTATTGCAATTAACGAATTAATCCATATCCCATTTTAAATATTATTACTTATAGCGAAGAGCCAAGTGATTTCTGGTCGGAAGAATTCGACGAGTCGGCATTTGTGCTAGATCGATGTATGTATCAATCTTTATATTACATAGCTCGAAAGAGAGTAATGAGCAAATTTGTTTAAATTTTTCCTACAGTATTCAGGAAATAGTCAATTACTTATGAACTAGTACATTTTCCCACTCTTAATACTTTGCGTATTCGTACTGTCTAGACTGCTAAGTGTACTATTATATTGTTATGATACTTCAGTATCGAATGAGCTATTCATAACGTACTATCGGCTGCATGAGTTGTATAAATTGATAGCCTAAGTGATGCAACTGACTGCACGGATGTACAATATATGCTTTGACAGTAATGAACTTTATAATTCCTATGCAGCCATTGTCTTCAGTAGTTGAACTTAATGCCAAAAATTTCACCCGTTGTTAAGCAGTTATATGACTTTCCTTACAGACAATTCGGATTTGCACGTAAAAATCTCCAAGGATGGATTAATTACCGAAGACTATTATAAAGGTGGATTTGCATATCTATGGGGAGGTATTCGTGCAACCTACGGCGCAAAAAGTGGCAAAGTCTTCTATGAAATCAAGGTCGATATTCCACTTTTTCAACAATTAAAAATTATTAGTATCAACATCGATTGAATACTTATCTATAGAAATGATTCTAATTTATTCAAATTAGATATTTTAATGGCTACTTTATGTATAGAAAAACTTCTTAACTATTCCTATTTTTGCATATTGTTTGATATTCTAAATCTTATTCAATCAAGAATCAATCAGTATCTGTCTGCTAAGCTGCGTCTGTTTAACGTATGTTATCTTTGCTTTTCGATAAAGATTTTGCAATTTTCCTCGGTTGAATTACCGGATCCTGAAACTCATAAAAATGCTCTACGTGTCGGTTGGTCAGTGGACAGTCCATATTTTCAATTAGGTTAGTAGTATTATAGAAATCTCAGATAAGGTTGTCGTTTGATTTACGCATTGCTATACGATATATGCGTGAAAGCCTTACGGATACACTCTTATTAATCTTTTTTAATGACTTTGTTACAGGTGAAGATAAATACTCTTATGGCTTTGGAAGTTCAGGAAAAGCAGCGACTACCAGTAACTTTTTCAGTTATGGTAAAGAATTTGGTGTTGGAGACGTTATAGGCTGTTATTTGGTAACTATCTCGTGTGCACTATATCAGCCAAACTTCTGTTCTAGTTATGATGTTATGATTTCGTTAATCCTCTTTTTAGGATCTTGAATCGGAACCTAGTACTGTGGGCTTTATGAAGAATGGTGAAGACTTGGGTTCTGCATTTCAGTTAGCTGTTGATTTAAGCGGTAAAGCACTCTTCCCTCATATTTATCTAAAGAATGCAAGAGTTCAAGTTAATTTCGGGAACGAGGTATGGATGTTTTCGAGAATGCATAGCTATTTCTCTTTAGTAATGGCTCTTATTTGACTTATTTAGGGAGAAATATGGTATAATCCTCCTGACGGCTATAGTTACATTGGAGGATTGCGCCCTGACCAGTTAGAAAGGGCAGTTACTGGACCAACAAAGGATGATGATTGTGAGGTAACAGTCCACTATAAAATGATAAGCAGTGCCAGCCTCAGCACTACCTACTACTAGGTGTGATAACTACATAGCTTACTACCTGCAATTACTAAATTGACGGGCATTGTGCTTAGGTATTAATGATGATCGGTCTTCCTGGTGCTGGAAAGACAACTTGGGCTGAAAAACATTCAAAGGATAATCCTGATAAGAGGTTCTACGTGCTAGGCACTAATTTGATTATGGAAAGGATGAGGGTATGTGAATAGGAACCTTTTTTGCGATTTTATAAGACTTTAAATGAAAATGGCTCGTTTCCTGGTCATTTTAATAATGGAATTCTATCATATAGAATGTTGAAGAAAAAAGATTCTCGATTGCTAAAATGACTTTTCTTACTTACATAGGTTACTGGCTTGCAACGCAAATATAATTATCAAGGCAGATTTCAGGAGTTAATTTCCTTATCTACTGAGTGCTTGGGCAAATTGTTTGAAGTAGCTGGTAGAATGAAAAGGAATTATATTTTAGACCAGGTTTGCAATTTTGCAATGTTATTATTGGAAGTTATTTAATAATAAAATTGTTTAAAGAATGCACTTTAACATTTAATTCTATTATATGAATATTAATGTCATCCTTTGTTTCTAGACGAACGTTTACGCTTCAGCTCAGAAGAATAAAATGCGTTGGTTTGCAGGCTTTAGAAAAAAGGCCATTATCGTAGTTCCCAGGCATGATGAATTACAAAAGCGATCATCGATACAAAAAGAGAAGGAGAATAAAGATATTCCATCTGAGACAATCCGTGAGATGAAGTGTAAGTAGCTCGATGCTTATTTATATTGTTAGCATTTTTTCAAAATATCTTATATTGTATATACTGAGATTTTGTTGCAATATCTTCCTTACGTTAGTCAATTTCACTTTACCAATCGTTGGTGACATTTTTGAAGCGGTAGAGTACGTGGAAGAGCGCGAAGAAATTGCCAAAAAGATTGTAATCGATTATCATCGTGAAGCATCATCAAGTGGCTCATCGCGCAAGCATCCACGCACGGATAGTTATAACCGATACTATCCTGACAGGCAGCGTAAAGATAGGCATGGTCATTCAAACCAGAGCCATAGAAATAGTCATCAGGACAGACGCAATATGGGAAACTCTTCACAACGTCGATGGATACCTGGTCAGGATCAGCGACGTGGAATGCCTCCCCGTTCGCGGCCTTCAGGAGGAATGCGGGGACATTCGCACAGAGGATCAGGATACCAAGATCGTCCTAGAGATCGTAACGATTACAATTATCGCAGTTCCCAGTACAGTAGTGGACGAGATTCATCTTACAGGCATCCCGGTGTCCCACAACAGTCACATAGCATGCATAGTGGGGGAAGTTATTATAGCGGAGGACAAAATCGTGGAACACCTAATTACTATTCACAAAATTCGAGTTATCCTAGCAGCTACGATCAGAGTAAGAGCTATCAGCAATCTTATGGTAGCAGTCAAGGCTACTCCGGCAGCAGTAGTAGCAGCCAGTATCCTCAAAGTTATAGCCAATCAAGTTACAGTGGCAACCCTAGTCGCCATTATGATAGCAATTATGCTAGCCAATCATCGTACGATCAGTACAATCGCAGTGGATTCTCTGGTCATAGTAGTAGCAACAGGAGTAGCCAAGGCTACAACAGCACAAGTAGTGACTCGTATTACAGACGTAGTTAAATTATAATTGTTCTGAAAATTGTTGAATAAGATAACCATGTTGTATTACTACAAATCTACTAGTTGTACAGGCCCCATTTAGTAACAGTTATATATCTTTTAAGTTTCATTTTCTTTTACTGGTTATTTGTATTCTGATGGTCACTTATTTTATTACCTGTATAATATGTTCCTTTCTTTACGAAGTGATTTATTTAGAAGTGACCACGTAATGCTCGTTTATTTCCGGGTTCAGTTGTAATTAAAAATTGCCTATACAGTTGAATGTGTCTTTTTAATTTAAACACGTAGCTAAAGTCTGTGCGTATTATCACCAAACGAAATCATAACTTAGGCAAGTCATCTTTTTACGCTTGATTGTTGCCTAGCGAGCCCATCCTTGATGATATGATTTAAGTCGAGATTTACGCTGGCTCAGTGGTAGACGTATCTATTTGCAACTTTTGAATGAATAAAAATTGCCTATTATATATGAAATGGGCTGTATCTGTGCACAATGTGCAGTAAGTTAGTTAAGAATGCAGTCTTTAGAATTAGATACCGAAACTTGATCTTACATTGATGTCAATAAGTGCACGCAATACGATACAACAGTATCATTAGCTTAGAGTATACCTGCAGTGAATGAAATACGTAGTAATCATACGAACTATCGGATCAATAATTAGGTTACTTTTCCAGCGCAAAACATGGACAGGTCGTAGTAACATTGAAAGAAACTGAAATATTGACATTAATGCCTTTTATTTTAAACTTAACATTAAACATGTTTCAGCGATACAATAGATTGATTTAAGCCAACTTTGTACCTAATTATAAAGCTAACACATCCTATTTACATAGCGAAATTGTTTGTCCGTAAAGCAGAGTTGTATCCGTATGTACTGTACAATTATTTTGTAAAATAGTTTATATACACAACCGAACCTGATAAGATATCAATTTTAATCAGATAAACTTTAAAACTTTAGTGCCAAAGTATAATACTTTTATTGTCAAATTTTGCGCCACGATATTCTTTCACATTCTTATCTCATAAGATCCACTATATGATGAGAGAATTGTAAGCGTTAGCAATAGCTCTTCCTATGCATAATTTGATAAGTTAGTTACCTATGAGTTACGAGTCTTAACCAGCGATTGACGTTTGATCCTTTCAAAGCGTTGTTAATTTTCAAGTAAGTGATACGAAATTTTGAACAGGTAAACATTGGTACTTCGAAATCGATACTATAACATAAAAAAGAATAGCTTTTAAACTCTTGAATTTTCAATAAATAATGAAAGCGCAACTCTCAATTGACCTGAGGGGATTAATTTCTTTACGTGATGATTTAGACCATTCATCAGAATTTAATTTAAGAAAAATTGCGGTATGAGATCCGCCATAAATTCTATTGATTTTCCAGATACAAATTTTACTAGTCGATACATATTCCAAATTTTGACCAGGTCGAGATGTTGGCAATGATACACTAGATAAGCACGAGTTAATTTTTTAGTATTTCAGTGATAAATATAAAAACATTGATGTAATAATGTTTTACCGACAGATTTAGAATAATGTGACAAAACAAAAACCTTGTCGTCGCCTTAGGTACAGGCATTCGGACTATAACGTTCATAGCATAACTAAAAGAGTTCGATAAATAACGTTAACTTAACTATCACATAAATAAAACTGCGTATCATTGTCATGCTGATTACTATGTTGACGGTATTTCGCAGCTGAGCTTCAATGAAATTTCAAACGTTCTGTATAATAGTAAAAGTTTCTATGTTAGGTTTTATTGTGCTACTCAACTGTAAATAAAAAGAAGTAATTTTGCAACGTTATATGGGAACAGTATTATTATTACAAACTTTCCACTAGCGGATTGTTCAATGAAAGGAAATAAACGTAGAGGACAGCAATTGCTATCAATACCAGAAATTCGATAATTCATGACGGTTGCCTAAGTAAATTAAGAGGGTATCAAAATTTCGAAATAATTCATAATTACTAGATAGCAGGTCTTGAAATAATATGCTAAAAATTTGGATGGAGGTAGATAAAATTTTGATGACTTTTTAGCTACAATTAAAAGTCAACTTCAATATATTTTCTTAAGAAATAAATACGATAGGGCTGCTATAAGTTACCTCGCCTTCCGGTAGTCTCATACTAATGACGCGTTCTTTCTCGAATCGATCCAATTCTACGGATTCGTGAAAGTTACAATCATTTAAACATATGCCATGATCATATCCTAAATTAGAAGATTAACAGATAAGTATTGTGCAATTGAAGAAATTGGTTCTTTCAGCTGGTACTAATGATTTACAGTTGTTAAGAAATGTCAGTAAAAATAGGCAGTATCAATTATTACACTGCTATTACAAAAATTACCTAATCGATCGATAGAATTAATAACCAGATCATCAGGTAATCCTAAGTTAATTTCTACGAACAAATAGCCATTAATAGTGTTATTACAGATACCAATAAACCAGTTTCAATCAGTTTAAGTATAAAAATTTTCAAAAAACACTTGCAAAACTGCTAGTACAAGACTACAAGGCAAAGTTGAGAATTGTATAAACAATAATAACATTCAGACCTGGAGAATCTTGGACATAATTTTTAATTTCAATGCAGCCATTAATTTCTGAGTTAATGATGCTACCCTGGTGATCATAGCATCCATATTGGAGCATTAGAGAGACATTACTTGATTATGTTGAAAAAGCTACTATAAAGCAGGCAATAATTTAACAATTTTGCTATAAAGTCATTACGTTGGCACCAAAGACAACGTTTAATTTTTCTCGCAGATCTACGTACACTTCTTTGCTACCTTCAGGCTGAAAATATCATATGATAGGTAATGTTATCATAAAATGCGGAAACAATCGCTTATTCAATTCTGTATTGAATTTAGAATTACAAGATTGGAGTACGCGTATACCATTTATTTCTAGATTACATATAGATATAAAACGAATGCTTTACATTTCCGCGAGTAATTGAAATTGGTTTGGATTTAACTTGGCTTGGAGCAGTTTTAGAAGTTGATTTAATACTTGCAGGGCCTAACTATAGCACCATATATAAAAATTGCCAATTTGGGCTATTAGCATGGACAAATTAGACATTTTTATTGTATACTTACTTGTAGGTAAATCTACTGTACTTGAGTGAAAGTTAGAATTTAAAAATGGTATTTACTATTGTGTTTCTTAATGATAGTTCATATCCTGGTACTTGTTTAACCATTTCAACATCAGAATAAATACACGGCTTTAGCGCATCAATTGAAGTAGTTTGTACGTAGCCAAAGTCCTAATGTATGCATAGGATATAATTATCAATATCAACTCGTATACATTTCGGTGTATCTAATATGTTATCATTATACTCGACTGTCAGTGGCCATAGGCGATAGGCAATACATGACAAAAATATATCCATTTGCTACTAATGAGTAGAGAAGTATAAACATACGCAGATTTCCAAGATGATTTCATTGATGAAAACAAAATTGGCCCGTATAACTTCTTCTGATAGTTCACCGCAACAATCTTTGATTACGGTAGCAATCCTAGAAAAGAATTGAAATTTTGGATGGGATTATTGTTGTAAGATTGTTTAATATAGCATAAAGGAACATTGAAGGTAGTTTATCAACATTGTTATAATCGCTACGGCGTAGGCCACTATCCAATGACAATCAGTAAAAATGGATGTCATTTAAGTCAGATTAAGAATATACAGCATCTATTGCATGCCAGTGGAAAGATACGTTAATTAACTATTGATCGACACTTGGCTAATAAGGTCTTGCAGTAGTCAAGGTATCGTATGAGGACTAGTATCAATCTCTTATTCTAGAGTAGAATACAGTAAGTCATATCGGTATTGACAAGTTGTAGAATGGAATACTTTATAAATCAAAACAAACCTCTGGAGTAATTCTATGGTGAACGCTGGGGCGAAATCGGATGACGATGTGCATCCAAAATATAAACCATTCTGAGCAATGAAGGCATATTGAGTCTCGCCAACGGTCTAAATAATATAGACGCGTATTATACACATATTGAAGAGAAAGATATTACAACGAAATAGATCGATATCTTCATGTTGACGTTGTATTCGATCACGCCAAAGACTATCCTGATCAAAGGACAATTTATAATACTATCATGGACTTACAAGGAAAGGCGCTAACTGATCTCTGTTCCTGCTTTGGACTATTTTAGCACAAAATTGATCCATGGCTTGTCTGCCTATTTTATTACGAACTGCATTGATACGCAGTTAAGAAACATTGGTGTTGCAGTGAAGGCTTTTTTTCAACGCAATGTTGTATACAGGTCACTATTACAGTCTATCCTACTGTCTCATTCTACCTTGCACAGTTTAAGTACAATCCATTATCCATACTTGATCGATTTAACTTGATTACAAGCACAAATGGTGTTGTTGATCAAGCTAGGCCTATTGCATGCTACTCTACGATCTATCATGTTGTCGGTTGTATCGTACAGCAGGACTATAGCATGTCCTGCAGCACAGCTTGCGTTCAAATTGATTGGTTCAACATGAATCATTCAAACTTGACTTGACAAGGACTGCAGTCAAGTTGTTCACTCCGCTATACCATTATCCTATTAGCAAACTGGCATGCAATCATTTAATCCTAAATCTACTGCACTGGTAATGCATGGATGGTAGTTGGAGCGCAGTCGACGCCAGCACGCCTACTGTCAACAAGACGAACAAGAAAGACTGTACTGTCAAGTGTTGGAGCAAGGATACAATCATGGAATATCAATGGATCTCCTAGAATAGACGCGATAAAAAACTGAGAAATCGGTGGTGACATTGCCAGTGTTGAAGTGGATTGCAGATAAGTGTGGAGGAGAGGAAGAAATGAATGATTTCTAGCCCAATTGGTGGATGGCATGCAGAGGAATTTCTCTTCGACCATAGCCAAATCTCGATGGAGTTGAAGGTTGAAACCTTTTGAATCAGTAGACTACAGTGTACAGTACACAGATTACAGTACTTTTACTGTACACTGTACTGTACTGGACTGGAGCTGGGAACGGTTCGGTTCGATACCTTTAAGATCTATACAGTATAACAGTACTGTACTGCGTTGGAAAAGAGACGAGCCAAATTGGCGATTGAATTTCAATCGCCAATTTGGGCTGAGTACTGGGTCAAAATATCCAATTAAGAAAGCACTGTCAACGACTGTTGATGGCCGAAATGTGCAGGCTGTATCTTGGCTGCAAGAATGCAACCTTGACGCCGTCAGTGGCAGATTGCCAGTCCAAGTATACGCCTGTAGATGGACAGTAAAATCTTTTTTGGCCCATGCGTAGAAGCTTAGCGATTTTGTGTACCTGCACATACAGTACTTCGTAGTACAGTACTTGCATACAGTGTACAGTACATAAAATCGCGATTGTACAGAGTACAAACTACTGTACTGGATTGTACAGTAGTGTCCTGCTCAGTGCTGCTTGCAGTACAGTATAGTACGTGAGAGTCGTGAGACTATGTGAGACAGTATAGCTCTGAGCGTGTTTGATCCGTCTTTCTGTCTTTCCGCTGTGAACTTATGGGATTTCGGGAAAAAAGGAAAAGTCCGCCACAGGATCAGGGACTACTGTACTAAAAAGAAAAAGAAAGAGAAGGAAAATGAAATGGTCGTTCACTATAGTCAATCCAAAATGCGGGGCCAATTATTTTATTGGCCATTTGAATTGAAACATCTATCTGAAGCGATAGCTGCCTACGATTCTCATCCAAATGAGCAACTTGAAGCTGTGGTTGGTTTGGAGCAGTGTAGTATCCGGTTTTAGTGATAGCGTCTACCAGAATGACCATAAAAAGGATAGCCCATTGCTCGCCCCTCTCTAATACGGCCACCAATACAGTACTATACAGTGTACAGTGTACAGTAGTATCATTTTTGGACCGGCTGTTTACTGTAGTCTACAGTACAATAGCGTCACGGATGGCAGGGACTTGTTGATGCCATGGTGCCTACCGTCCATCCTTCCTTTCCTATCCGTTGCTCTTGTTTCCTTGCCATAACGACTGCAGTTTTTTGAAGAGGGGGAAAGAACAAAAAGAAACAGACAGACAAGAAAGACGGATGATGGCCCCAAGTGCATTGTGATGTCGCAAAGCAACGCGATGCGTTTTCAGCCAATCCAATCCAAGCTGCTACAATTGGCATTGAGATTGCCCCCCCCCTAAGGGCCAATCGATGAAAGCCACAATATAAAAGACGGCGACGGAGTTGGTAATGTCGACTCGAGCTACAAGAGTCCAGGAAAAAAGTTGCTCTTTCTTGTTGTAGACGAAGGGATTTGCTATTTCTGCTGCCCTGATTGGGCATTCATTGGTTGGAATTAAGTCTTTCCTTCTTCGATTTATTGCAATCGATCTTACCAACGATTCGATCCTTGGTTTAGACTGTTGAACATCCAAGCGTTGATCAACAAAGGCCGAAAAAATTAGACAACGAGTGTCCTACTCCAGACAACCGTCTATTGCTATACATAATCCTATTATCGCCAACTTGCAAGGTTACCTTCCTCATCTTGTCATCGTCGATCGGTCATGGCTGGAGCAGGCAAGGAATCCACTCCCGTAAGTCGCTTCTAAGCTGAATAAGATAGAGATGAGTAGCTACTGCGATGTTTCTGGACTATTGCATGTTCGTTATCCTTCGATGGAGATCGAAAAAAAATAGCGTATGGAGAGCCAGGCTCAGCGGTAGCCGGTGTTGCAACCGCTTGTATGTGACTCAAATCTTAGCCATCTTGGGCTAACTTTAGCCTCATCCTTTGTCTTGAAAGTAGAGCAAACAACAAAGATGCAAATGCCTAGAACCGATGCACTAGTATTGGCTAATTGCCAACCAGTTGATAGCACTATGCTTGCTGTTTTATCGTCATTCTTTGCCTTGAGAGCATAGCACACCACTAAAATGCAATTCCTAGTATAGATGCAACATCCATGGCGAATAGTCAACCGTTTCATAGCGCCATGTTGGCTAGCTGATCGTCCATTTTTGTCTTGAGAGCATAGCATACAACTAATATAAATCATAGCATGCAATCCCTAGCAAAGGACGAGATGCAACATCCATAGCGAATAGTCAACTATTTTATAACGTTATATTGCCTTACCTTATCCTGATGCTTTGCTTCCAAAGCATAGCACGCAATTAACATGCAATCCATAGTACAGATGCAACATAAATAGCTGTGCACCAAGTGGTTCCACAACATGGCGACAGTCGATCCTGAATCGAGATCAAATATGGTAATGGCTGAGAATTAGAAGAATTTAACACAGTCAATCATCAATGAGTCGTCATAGTAGCGTGGAGTGAAACTGTGAAATCAAGTGCATGTTGTTGATAAAATCAAGGGGGAATTACAACTGCAGCAATAGGTAGCTTGATCATGCTAGTAGTACAGCATGTCTTACTGACTTCGCAAGAATACACAATCTATAACGGAAACAAGCTTTGACAACTTTGCTTTTCAATCTATCTTAAGATTCAAAATCCAACTTGCCATGGCTGATCAGGATGATCGTGGTTGTTGTGCATGGAGCTCTTCTTCATACTCACCTGCTAAACTCCTTCACTTAGCATATCCTTATTTCAATGTACTCGTACACTATTTTCCCACTTTTGGCATAGTCAATAGCACGATGGAAGCTTGATAAACGTATAAAGTAAGCTACTTTTGCTACAATTCTGTACTCAATAGTATTGATAGCAGCTGTCATCAATCTTCTACTGTAATTGAACTACCATTTCTCATACTCTAGCGCTAAATCATTTACTATACAGCATTGTTAATTATTCTATAAATCATATTGAGAATCCTTTCAGTCGAGATCCAAACGATACCAACAATCAGTGGGCAATGCCTAGCAACCAATTTTATCTAGGGTTGTCCAATTTCGGGATTGATCACAACTTATACAGTCGATTTCGCTACTGCTGCTGCATTAAGATAGCTCAATCTAAAAAATACTATAGGTTACCGTGCTGGTTATGCGGTAGAAATAACATAGTTTAAAGTGGAACTACGCTGACCTTGTGTTGTATTCCTTGTTGGCAAAGGTTGCAATTCAACCTACTTGTTTTGACTTGACTCTCTGTGCCCCCTTCACATAGTTTGAATAATCCCTACTTTGCTTACGTGATATGCATGCAATCCATTTGGATGACAAGATCACTGGGTATTTTTAGTCTAATTCCCTATGTAGGATATAGTCTGTAGGAGACAAGAATACGCTATCCTGATATCGAAAGGGATGAACATGAACTTCATTAGAATATTTTACAATATTGACGGTAGTAAAGTACTAGTTCTCATACGCTAGACTGTATAGAAGAGGGGATTCTATACAAACAGTAACTGATCTACTGTATTCCAAGAGACGCTTATACGTACATGTAGATATCCACTAATATTTAGCAATCACTGCTATTGTACAGTAGTATATCGAATAAATGTATTTGATATCATAATGCTAGAATGCTGTATTAAAATTAGTATCAATAGGCTATTGAATGATATTTGTGTAGCAGTTTAAATCGTCTTGACATGATATGACTTCTAGGCTGGTCTCTACCATTACGTTATTAATGATGTTATTAGAAGTATACGCCAATCTTTTCTAAATCGTGGTGTCGATGAACAAGTTTTACAAGAGTTAAAATCGGTAACTAAAAAATAAAAATAACTACATAAATAGTATTATAAATTGGACAACCGTTGCTGGCCGATTGAATAATCAACTTTTTTGGTCAATTCATGATCCATTGCATACCTAGTAAGGTTAATAACATCTGACATAATTATACCTTAGCAGTGGGAACTTAAAATTGTTCAATCGAGATCGGTCAAAGAATTTGTTGCCGAAGATCAACGTACAGCAAGTGCATCAAATGTTATGTACCCACATGGCAATAGGTTTCCTATAGACGCTTTATCTCAGGTAAAGACTACGTAGGAAATGTCTGCCTCATGCAATGTTCTAGTCGATGGTATAATACTTATTGTTTATTCTTTGATTTTATGCTCTGGCTAACATAATTCTACTATTTTAATTAACTTAGGTTAATAATACCAGGCATAGCAAAGGTACTTTTAGTGTATATATATTTACGTCTCAAACCAAGTGCTTATTAAGTAAGTGTCATTGATGACTTTCTCCAATCAACATTTTTCTTTGATTAGATAATGCCTCCGAATTTCCGTCTTATTCTGCAAGTACTGGAGCAAAATCGGCTAAAGTAAATCTCAACAAGTTATTACTTACCAATTGCAATCAAATTGTAAAATTGAAATGGACTTTCTGACGTAATGTGTATATATTACTATAATTAGAATACCTCCAGGAGAGTAGTAAATCAAAATGATGGCGCAGACGACGATGATGATGACGATGATGAAGATGATGATGAAGAGGCCGTATCTTCTGATGAAAGCGAAGCAGAGTCTGGCCCGGCTTCGGATAAAGCTGCATATGCCGATGACGGAGCTAACAAAGAGGTAGCAGTTATTCATACTACTACAACAATGACCATCTAATAATGCAATAGTTCCATTTATTAAACCCTCTGTATTATTGACCTATACGATATATGGCAGCTTGAGGATGATGAGCCATTAAATACAGATGATGACGCTTCGGATGAAGACGATATTGACTCGTTTGAATGCGATAATGTTATTGTTTGTCAATATGATAAGGTTGGTTGGAGTTCTGAATATTTTACTGTAGTGATTGCTAGAAATGTGATACTGACATCATTGAAAATCTATTTTAGGTTACTCGTGCCAGATCGAAATGGAAACTACATTTAAAAGATGGTATCATGAACATAGGTGGAAATGACTACGTTTTTAATAAAGCTAGTGGAGATTGTGATTGGGCTTAGCTGAGAAATTGTATAGTAACTTATATCTTCAATTGATTAGATAGAAAAAGAAAAATCTGATAGTTATCAAGTACTTATTAGTGTATGTCGACTTTGCATGAAATGATAATATTTCTAGTCATTTTTGGATAAAAAAAGCTAACTATTTGATATAATTGATTATACTTGGTGGTTTCTTGTTATTTATATTGCAAAAAACATTCTATCAATCCAGTAATGTTAACGCTAATCTTTATTAAGCGTATGCCTGCCATGACTTACTCGAGTGCCATGATGGCGATACAGTATATACAACAAAATGCTCTACTATATTATTTATTCTTCCTTTAGTGGTGATGTATTTCCATTAAAGGGAATAGCTTTTCCTTTTTTTTATCTTTGAATCACAATTAAATTGATCCCTAATCATTTATCTTTCCTGTAATAACTTTTTCTCCCCTGAAGTAGAGTGAAGTGCAATACTATGTTATCAAGAAACATTTTGTATCAAAGTAAATGCATATCCTTAACAGTATTATAGCAAGAACGAACTAAATCAAAGCGTTTATTGGTTATCCTGGAGAAATATTGATTCAGTGCTGCAGTTGTCTATCGCTCTTGTCAGCTCTGGTGATACTAGTTTCTACACAGAATTACTGACGTAATACTCATGTTAACATTTTTATCGCTACTGTCTGTAGACTAAATAACTACTAACATAAATAAACGGCAATGCATATATTGCATCTTAATAAAAGAACTTTTTTTCTGTCTACAACAGTATTCTTTACATGTACACATATAAGAAGCCGACAAATCAAAAAAATGGCACGAAACTTTGTTATGAACCAAAGTTACTGCCTAAAAGTGTCAGCAGTTGGCTTTAAGTTAAAGATTTCAATCAATAATAATACAGTACACCTAGCCTAACTCTTAACTGTGTTATCATATATGCCGTGCTGACACGAATGCTGGCAGAACTATTCAAATAGCTTGTTATGTTATGTAGCGCATCGAAATATAATGTACATGAAAGGTAGCTAGAGTTTTTGACCATCCGAAGTTCTACTCATAATATTATCCTATGTAAGTGTTCAAACATATATTAGCACTTGTAGATTTAAAAGAGTGACATTATTACTGTACTAGTTCGTGCATAAGACGTCGATCAGATAATAACCTCGGCCAATAAAGTTAGAAAAAGTTAATGCTCTCCATTTCACCCATAGAGGTTATTTTGTTTACCACTATACTTTCACCTTCATGATATGAAGCACTCATCGTTTGAAGTAGTCCCAAAGACAAGAAACGTATGAATCCAAGTTCCCTAACAATTAAGAGTTATGTGATGGAATCGCTAGAGACATACTACTAACCGATAACAAAGGTAACCGCTTAATAGAAGTCAATAATAATAATTTAAAAAAAATTGCTCTAAGCAGTAGATTTGATAGCATCATGCTTCGTGACTATAAAATGTCTACACTACTCATAAAACAACTGCACAGTTGTTCAATTCTTCATAGGCATTTATACTTAGGCGTCACAATATATATTATTAGTTTCTTAAACGCGCTAATTTAGTATGACAAAAATAAGCTAAAACTAAATATTGAATAATCAATCACTTACATTTACTTAATTTGTTATAAGTCAACATTTTAATAGTCTTCCTACTGGGTAAAAGAGCTACATATTGTAGTAAGATGGTGTTGGTATAAGATTTTTAAAAATATCTTGTGTCAGTAAAATACAATGCTAGAAATAATTACATGTGCATGATGTGCTAAATAATCAAGAGTGATAACGAAGGCATATACATACATATATATATATATGTTATATATATATGTATATTTCTATCGTAAACTAATAATAAGACAAGAGGTAATAATAAATACAATTTAAAATTGTACTGGTAGAATGTCGTACCCAATATAATTTAGGATTATAAACAAATTGTCGATAAAATGGATGTATTATGTCTAAATAAATCTAATTCCTCGTGATTAAAAATAATAAAAACCCTTCTCTACAAATTAGAAAGATTGCTTGCAAATTTTTTATGACATGGTGAAAAAATTTTAAACGAATTCTAGATTGTAAACAACAGGTGCCATATGTCTGTGAGCACGATAAAATATTACATAGTATGATAGAAATTTGAATGTAAGGCTAGATCAAGCTTATATAATTAATAAATTTTGGAGGATAAAGCTGGGTTGATAAGCCAGTTACTAAAATGTGGCAAGAATTGGTGATTTAACTAACAAACGAATAATAGCTGATTTCATTAAAACTTAACAAATTAAATAATATTTTACCCATCACGTTAATCAGTATATATTTTTAAAAACAATTTCTGGTGATTTTATTTTTAATTAAATATCCTCGGTGAATGATAAAATATCAGTGCTTCATTACATAAAATAGAGAGGACAAAAGGTATCATGAATTTTTGCCGGTAGATTTTCGATTAGTTGCAACCTAAATAATAAATTTGCAATGTAGCTACCAATTCTGGCTAGCTAGGTGACTGGTTGATGTACGAGTAAATGTAAACACAGCTTTTTCCTTGTAAGCCATGCCGTTCACTTCGAAGATGAGAATTGGCTAGCTACCATGGCACACCGTTATTAGGATTGAGTGAAGGGACAAATTGAAGACCATTAGATGGTAATAATAGTATTCAGAATCCTTCAACCTTCATCACGAATGATTTCTTGACGCTGCGTTTCATACTCGTCTTTAATAGATTTCTCTTCCTAGTTGATAAAGTGTCAGCTATTGTTAATACTAAGAATTGAATTAACTACAATTTTCGTAAATGATGCGTTATCGACAAAATAAATCTTATAATATGAAAGGATTTAAAAATAAACACTCAACAGGCAATACTGCAATTTACCTTTTTCCTTTCATTACCAAGCTCTTCTGCAAGTTCTTGAAATCTACTTTCTAAATCTGCAATTTCCTTTTCTTGCTTATTCTTTAGCTACAAAACATTCAAGGAGAATTTAGTAATAGTTATAAATATCGCAATATTTAACTACTAACTGACCACAAAAATAGATTAATAATACAGCACATTGCCGGTCCAAATGATTACCTTGTGTGTTTCTTGGACCGCGTCTTCTACCATTTTACGTCTCACTTCACTTTTCAAGCTAATCATATTTAAAAAAGCACCAAGTTATTAGTACTTAATACTTATTACAAATCTTGTTTTTTACTTTCTAACAGCAAAACTTATTAATAATAATTATAATTAGTAATATAGTTTTTATCGGAAATAAGAACCTTCGAAGCTCATGTTTATCAGTAGTAGTTTTGGAGACAGTTTTAATTTCTTCTTTAGTTCTAACCGCCAAATATTTTTTCATGCTACATTCCTCCCTAAAATAAATTATAAAAATATACTTATAATGTACTCGTAATAACAGATAATAAATTTAATGCTTAAGTAAAAAGATCTTCATGTTATCAATACATTCGATTACGGGCACTGTATACATATATTAGGGTGCAATTGTAATCATATAGTTGTCTAATGAAAAAGTTCATTAAAAAAGTACTATTTACAGAAGCACAAGTGTATTACAGAAATAACCAATCAAGACTATGAAAGATTTGTAAATCTGCAAAAATATTAATGACAAGTGGTATGTACGATAACTCCGATAATAATTTCAACCAGATTGACAGATAGTTTCGGGCAGCAATTGTACTATTATCATAGTAAGTACCCATAAAAATTAAGTCAATATCGTTTTGCACGTATTAATACAGTATCTGAGAGAAGATATTATAGTAAAAATCGTAATCTATCTTCAACAATGCCATAGTATAAATGTGATTTTGTAATTTTACAAAGGGGCTGTACTACACGAGTACATGTACAACGTAGACTGCACTAGTCAGTAACATGCCACTGTAACAACAATATGCCACCATGTTGTACTAGTAAGATTTTGTAACTGGTGCCTTAAAGCTTACTTTTCGTGAGCTTGCTGTAACTTTTTTTTGCTTGAAATTTCATATTTCTCTAGCAATTTCTCCTTAATATCGAATTCCTAAATAATTAAAAAAACTTTATATAGATACTGCATTACAAAGAATCTGCTATTTTATTACTACTATTAAAATTAAATAACGTAATTAGAATGGCATGATAGTAAATGTCCGGTGATATACTACTAACAGTTTTTAAGTGCTTCATTCTTAATTCGTAAAATGCTTCAACTTGACAAAGCAAAAGTTTCTGCATTTCTGATTTTTGTTCATTTTCCAACCACGTAATATTATTGACCTAATCAGTGCAATTAAATTGATTTTAGAATATAAATCTATTTAGGTGATAGCAAGCGTAATGAGTAACAAATTTTTTTGTAAAATCAAAATTAATGATACCTGAGAACCAGTAGGTTTATTGTTCCTATATTAGTCGGATTAGTATTTTGCGAATTTTAGAACAAGCAAAAATTAAAATAAAGGACAAGTTTGAATGGAAGCGGCAACTGCAGTTCGATTAGTTTTTCACATTAGCTAACGCTTAAAGTACAGTCAATTATTCGTGATGATTGAAACCGTAATTATTATATAGTTACTTGCTAAGTAATGTAGTTGTTATGCCAATATATAATATTACAACAAGATTTACTTACTTAGGAGAAATTGGCGATTCATTTTGGCGTAATTTACTCAAATTTTCGTTGTGTACTTTTGCTAACGTTGATTTAGACTATTAACAGTACATAATTATCCACATTAATAGCATTTCAAAACTGTATTACCATTTGTTAACTGTTAAACATATAATTTACTTTTAAATGCTTTTTCATCACAGCTCTTGCTTCTTGTTCATTAAGGGACTGTTGCTTTTTGAAAGTCTAAAAGAAATGAATAGATACAGACGATTAGCAACATACATAACATAATTTATAAATGAAAATAAGATAGAATAATTACTTTTTTATTTTCAACCACTACTAAATCATAGTTTCTTTCCATAGTTGGTTCTGGCTCAACATGATTAGTTTGGCCTTGAATCTTAGTACCATTGCCATCACTGCTGATTTTCTTTGGCACCGGTTGGGGAGGATTCGTCTTATCATGCGAATGAGGCGTAACCGGATTTCGAGATTGAGGAGGATTGTGTGGAGGATTAAATTTGCTTTGAGAATCTTGTTTTACTGATGATTTCCCGTTATTTGTCTCCTAATTGATATAAATACATTAATCAACTGCTTAACTTAAGCTATGCTTTCATCTTGAATGGCGTATGCTATAGGAATATACAGGCTACGATGTACTCCGATTACCCCCTGCGCATCGTCTTCGTCCATTAACTCAGCCAATTGTTCTGTCCTTTTTTCAACTGCGGATTGGAAGTTAATAGGATCAGCCAAAGCGGCAGCAAAGTCTTTTAAAGTTTAAAATAGATAATTAGACTCCAACAGTGAATTTATAACCTGAGAAGGAAATTAGGGTTAGGAAATTTTTATGATCATTTAATTTTGATATCATACCAGCTAGACCTCCCGGAACGTAATCATTGACATCAATCTTGACAAAAATTGTAGCTGCGTTTACTAACATATTCGATTCTGAACGCAACTGAATTTGTCGATAGCCTATTAAGTGGGTTATGTTGAATAGCGACGAAATGTAATACAAAGTAACTTTAGTAAACTTTATTTACTTGCTATACTCTGGTAGATAATATTACCAATATTTAACTAACCTGCTCTTAGGACTTCTACTGGTAAAACACGCTGACCTATAAGTTTACCGCTTTCTTCGTGAATACCAATTTTAAGCAAAGCAAGTTGCGGTAAAACAATCTGTGGATAAACAATCAATCGAAGAATTCTAATGATTATTATGATCATACAGTATTTATCATCATGGTTGCAAAAATAGTAATATACTACATTATACATGTATAATGTAGTTTTTCAATAGATCATTTTTATCGAGGTCAACAAAGCTAACCTTTTTGAACACGAATGGTTCTTCATCATAGAAAGGATTAATACCATTATTAGGTACTAATTTCGTCCTGTACCGCTTTCTGACTGTATCAACAGGTAGTCCGTACATTTCTACTTCAATGTAAGTACCAATTCGCTTTTCTGTTAACAACTGTCCCGAGAGAATCTATAGCATAAAAATATTGAAGTAGCCCAATCAGGATATGGTAAGAATTATATTTGTTACAATGATACCATAATCGAAATTTGAAGGTTGCAACTTAACACTGAAAAATGCTATGATTTAAATTTATATATATTACGTAACTGAATATGATATCTAAGGAATAAATACAGTACTAAGAGTACATAAAGTACATTCTATTTCCAATATAATATAGTAATATACCTTGATGGAAAGTTTACCAGCCACTATCCCATCCACTGTCGATTCTGCAAACGGATCAAAATTTCGATCTTTCTTTCGCATAAAGTCTGGCTTTAATAGGAACCTATATGTATACAAATAAAGAATCATATTATAATACCAAGAAAATCGAGCGGTAATTTAGGAATACGATCACAGTATTATATCTCAAAACAGTGTCATGCCAAACTGTAGCAAGTTAGCTGTGCATAATTTGGCAAATTGACCAATTTATCATAAATGAATTATTTAGTACAATTTTTTACCCGCATCGACCATTAAATTCAAATTTTCCATTGTTAAGTTGCATAGGAAGATCTACACGATCGAGTAGCAATAACAAATATTATTTATATTTTAATTGGGTAGCATGTTTATTGAGTAGTAAATTGTATAAAACTTCATATTCAATATTCAACTTGCCCATAGTTTGAAAATTGAGAGCCACAAGTTGACAACCCGCATTCCAATAAATTTGAGGTATATAATTGCTAGAATCGACACGTTTGCCTTTTGGATATATTCGAGTTAGCTGTCTCTTGTTATAGCTTTAGTTGATACACGTCAAGGAAATTATTTAATTGTTATTCAATTCAAGTCATCGTAAAATAAAACACAACAAGCCACATCCTAGTGATATAGTAAACATAATTTAACAGTTTATCAATTTTCAAAGGATACTTTACAAATTCGATTGGTTGTTCCTTTAGCTTATTAGTTGCTGAAGTTTCAACAAAGGAAGACATTTCCCATGAAAAATTTTTCTCTATCATTAGTGTAGTAATACATTGACATAAAATTAATAATTAATTTTTTCAACACAAAAACTAAGAAAGTTTTATGAGACAGTAACTTTATCACGCCCGTATATCCGCATTCATATTGAATATTTTAAGAAGAGCATTATCTACGCTACATTATTACATACTATCAGCTTTTTCAAAGCCCGGAAAGTGCACAGGTGTTACGTAATTAACTAGATCAGATAATTCTTTGCAGCAAGTATTCTCATCGTTTCGTTTCTAGATATAGTAATAAAATCGTTATACTATTAATTTAAAAAAAACTAAATTTGAACTGCAGAGGTTTAATATATTTAACTTACTTTCTTCACTTTCTTTTGTTTCATTCGAGTAACTTGCTGATTGACTGGAGCCTCTTCTTCAGCTTCTGATTCACCATCGGTTTCTTCTTCAGGATTTCCATCATTTTCTGCAGATGTTGTAGCAGGAGGAGCTTGAGGTTTATCCGTATCAGCTGCGTTGGCAGCTTCATTCGATTGTTGCTGTTGATCTGGTACATCAACAGAAGGTTGTTTTTCGACATAAGCTACCATATCTTCTGTTAATTTTTTATTTTTGATAATTATTTTTCGATATAAAGCACTCGGTGGTGGTAGTGGTTTTCCAGGTTCGAGCTATAACAAAGGGTATTTATAGTGAGCAATTATTGCAATCAACAACTTAGTATACACTAGGAAATCCAAGAAATTTGCAACATACAGTGCAGTATTACTAGACGTAAAATTAAAAAGATATTAATGTCTACCGGATAGTCATCGAGGATTTTATTCAGGAGCATATCACCAAAGATTGTTTTACAATACTGAGCGAGCTTTTGTTGCTGTTTAGTACTAAAGATAATATTTATGTAATATTTTGCATTAATAAAAATTACTATATAGCTTTAGTAAAGTTTCATCACTTTAATGATAAGTATTTCCTATTAGAAATAGATTCAATACAGTTATGTGCATTTACTGTAGTTTTAAAATTCTTACGTGCAATGATTTTCGAACGATAATATTACTGGGTAATCAGACGTTTTAAATGCAGAGTCAGCAATTGCGTACATTACATCCTGTATGAATTGATCATAAATATCAATATAAAGAATAGCATTTTATAGCAAGGAGTTAGAATTAGCAAAGAATGGAAAAATTACAATTCAGAGAAATAACTAGCATATTTAAAGAATTATTAGAGTGTATATATAAGACTTTTATTATCAACGCTACCTTAAATGAGATATCTGTACACATCGTAAATCCGTGGGTAATAATTGGCTCCTGGTCGTCTCCTTTGCCATCCCAGCAATCTAATTCTATGCAACGACAACCAGCTATTAGGACTTGTCGATACATTTCAACGGAAGATTTACCCGTAAATTGGTGACCTATAAATTTAACGTCAATTAAGAAATTAGATCAGATTGATTTATCATCTTTATCTTGGAATCGACGACATTATTCGATCCAAAGTGAGTTGCAATATCCAAAAAAATGATAGTTGATATTCCTACCTGACAGATAGGTATTATGTGATGAATTGATGAAATAGCTAGACAAGGGTTGATTGGGATCTTGATAGATGTCTAATGATTCAAGTGGAATTATTGCATTATCTTCACTCATTAAATAACGCGTAAATCCATCCAGAGATAATTGACCTGATGTAAAAATAAATTTATCAGTTAAAGTACAATCGATGTCGCGATAGGGTTATAACAGTAAGCTAGTAACGGCAAATATAAATGTCGATTAGCCAGGTTTACCTTTGCTATAGAATTCCTTTTTTGTTTCAAACTTGGAAATTATCTCTTGTCCTCGTTTTTCATCTACGTAGGGATATATAATCTCGTTAAGTCTTGGATCACGCTGGTCTTTATTCAAAAAGTCAACGAATTGCTGCAACGTCAAATAAGGTTTCTTTTTCGCTCCACTGCAATGAAATTTGTAATATTTTAAAATTAGCGTAACTACATCAACGATAGTCTACAAAGATTGATAAATTTGTAGATCAAAGTTACAATTATGAAAATAAATACGATGTTATGAAAGGATACAGATATTACATAAATTCTACGGTAATATTAATGAGTACTGCCAATTTCAGGTTAATGAACTCAATTTACTATACAATGCACATTAATCTCTTAAAGTGAAGATCGATTGATCCTAAATAAGGAATCAATATATAGCATACAGTGATTCGAAAACTTTCTGAACATCGTGTCTATTCAGCAAACGAAAGTAGAAATTGAGGAAATCTTCAAAAGTAAGTTTGGATGTAGGTATAAAGTCAGTCTGAAATAGAATATTTTTAAGATATAAGATTTTCAGTTATTTTTCTTAATCATGGTGTCCATTCTGTAATACGTTAATAATCGATTCGTATATACAATTCAAAGCTTAATTTTTACTATGCAAATATTACATAAAATCTATCAACCTTTATATTGGAAGGTAATCCAACAGCTGCCAAGGCGTCTGTAACTCGTTTTTTATCATCTTTGTGGTTACAATAAATTTTAGCAAAGCTGAAATTGAGAAAAAAAAGGGTGAGAATCACCAATTATCTATAATTAATAAGTTCCATTATTCAATTCTGTAGTCATGAGAAGAGATTAACATTTAACAATAGAAATAATGAAATAATCATTATTCTGAATAAGGGGAGATACTTTCGTGTCATTACAATAAATTGTTAGTATTTATCTCAGTAGATATGATAATTTTCTTACTCTTTGACGGATATTTTCCCTTCACCGACAGTTTTGCAGACTAATTTGTTGTATCTTTATAAGAGAACAATATGGTTAGCCAAGATAACAAACAAATACTTTGTACCAAGATTAATTATTCAATTATTCCTTCATGTAACGTTAACAGAAGTAAAAATTAACGTAATTTCAAGTTACTTACTGAACTTCCAGAACCGATATTGGCGGTGCGTTCAGAGCTAATAAGTTATGGCATAACGCGAACAGATTGGTTGTCCAATCCTATAATTTTTGAATTTAATGCGATAAAATTGTGACATTTTTCTGGCTATGATGCCTTAAAAATTATTATAATTACTGTATACAACGACATTAACGACATAAGTGAATAAAATTTTATCCACACCAATAATAGTTTCAATCCAACAACGATCAAAGGTATAATAAATGTAATAAATAAATAATATTTCAATTTTTTTTTATTAGCACGAAAAGCTATTCAAACTATTATCGGAACTCACCTTAGCGACTTTAGCAGAATTTGATACGAAGGTAATGAAAAAGATATCTACCATATTGTATCCGTAAACTACAGTAACCGATTTATCTTCCAGTGATTCCTCATTATTACCACCCATATCGAGTGAATTTCTTAATTTGGAATCCTATAAATTAGTATCAAAGAGAAAAGTGAATTGTCATAAAAATTACTTTTTTATTTGTAATTACTGTGGATAACTATCACGTTGTATAATAACGGAATATCAATCTAATACTGCCAATTAAAATAGCTTTATAGCAATAGAACGTATAGTAACTATTTTTTCAAATTCAATATTAATTGATTTGAAGAAACATAAAATTGACATAATGTCTATTGTACGTGTATACGATTTATAAATGTTACAAAGGACCGGTATATATTGTAAATGGGTGGCCTTTCCATAAATAGAGAAGGCAATATTGAATAGTTAGATCAGGTGTTGCGAGTATTGCGTCTATGAAGTGGTGGATAGTATCAGTTTTAATTCTAATAATTGGATAATACTACGGTACAGAATGAAATAATCTCTCTGGTAGAAAAGGTAGCATCAACGTGACTACGAAACGTGATCAAAGTTGACAAAGCACAGTAATTTAGGCATAGATAGTACGCTTATGGCCTAAGTGCATTTATAAAAGGTTAATACAGCACAGTATTCTTTTCAGCAGTGATTCAAAGTTTTTCAGATATGAAAACATGCATTGAGTAGTGAATAAAATCGGCCTACTAGTTAAGATATTCAATACATTGTAAAATGTTACTTTTATCTTGTAGTTGTCGATAAATGCCGTCAGCACAACACTGCAATGAACCGCCATCTTTAGTATTATAAGTACATACGCGTATACGCATGGTAGGACCATATTTTATTGTCTTTTAACGGTCTGTAACGTATACATTTTGCCAGTTAGCCAGCAGCTATTAAGGTTACCGTAAATAAGCGAAATTGGAAATAGATATAGTTGTCTAATTTGTAACGTCATATTGCTAAAGTAATGTTCATCATTACTTGGAATTAGTATTTAATCCAGTGAATTAAAATTTGAAGGTGTACATTATGAATTGCAGTTATAGCATGAAGAGAAACAGCCTATGTTATTTTCGCAAGTTGTGCAGAGCATTGCAGTTAAACAAGCATACAGCAAAAACATTCATCTGACATTGTTGTATATGCCAGCTTATGTATTGTTGGAGATATACATTTTGACGGGGTATATGAGTGGCTATAAGAAAATGATAAAGCTCTTAAAAGCTGACTGGTACTACTGTACGAAGTGCCGAAAAAAATGCATGATGGTATTATAATTTACACGATTCATGAATGTACAATATTACTCTATATTGAGTTATTGAATTCAACTTTAATAGTATTTGGTAATTAGTGACGATTAGAGCCATTCCGTAGGAAAGGCTTAGTACTCCTCATATTCAGTAAACTCAAATACATCAATTACAACATCGCCTACAGAAAAAAGTTTAAAGTATCTAAAACTCACCTTTGGTAATCGAGCAGCACGACCAGTCCTAACATCTTTTATAATGTTGATTTCTAGGCAATCGGAATCCTACAAGATTTAATAGAGTCCATTTATATTCATTTATAATAATTATCACAATTCATCAATAACGAATATTGAAAGATATAGTACGTAGACTACACTGTATACGCGTCTACAGTTTGGAAATGGCTTGTATTAAGCCATGTTTTAAGATTGTCAATGGCAGTATCCAATAGAATTTAAATTGAAGATGAAATGAACTTTGAAGGTAGTCATTAGAACAGTATTGATAAAAAATTGTTTAAAATTGGATCTCCATTCCCGAGAAGGTCTGTTGTTAAGATTTTTGAAAAGGGATGCTTCATCAATACACGTACATATCCCATAATGGGTAATCCGAACATTTGATGGCAACACTAGGATCAACATCACCTTAGCTTATTGACATAGAGTATTGATCAATAAATTGATGGACTGCTCAACGGGAGCGTATGTTATGCCGTGAATGCTGTTGGCGAAACGCAACGTACACCATCACTTCGAGCAGTGTACTTCACGATGCTGCTCAAATACTTGAGATATTGAGCATCAGTCAAAACTTGATGCAATCTGCCATTGGACTGATCATTATAATTAAGAAATGGCCATACTGGATAGATCAGTGTGCCTAAAATCGTTGCAGTTGTATAATTGATGCTCGGCAAGTTTTACGTACTACACTACTACATGCAGTGTGTCAGAGCAGTGGAAATGAGTACTTTCCAAAATAATCATTCTGTACTCTATTGCAATAGCTACAGGACAATATTCAAAATAGATTCCGTAATCAATCGCCGTTGTAGCATTGTCAAATGATTGAGCATTCTGTGTTAAGAAAATCGAGACTATCAAGTTTCAGCTGAGTCAAGCTGCCAATTTGGTTGTTAGTAGTGCAGCACTCTAGATTGAGAAGGACATTGAATTGGAATTATTTAAAATTCTACAAGATCGAACTCTTGACGACTACTATAGTCCACAGCAGTATACTTTACTATATCGGTACTACATAACACTTTATTGCCTATTTGTCCATTTACTGTAAATTCAATATTCGTCCATTTGGAGGATATAACCTTGCAAGGACTACCTTCAAACTACTAGGCAAGCTGTAGCTGTCCGATATTAGTCATGACCGTGATGGGAAATTGTGAGCGAACCGTTATAACTGCACTTTAAAGATTCAGTTATGATCGAGGTTTTTCTTACCTCTATGTTTGTTGCCACTGTACTATACAATGAATTCATTAACTAATTATGTTATTTAGGCGCTGTTGAAAGTCTCTGCCTCGCCTTGCCCCCTGCAAGGACTTGGTTAACAGTACAGTAGTACAGCGATTCAAGCTTTTGTTTCTCACCATCATGAATCAACGTTGCAACACAACATGGATGCTGTATTCCCTCAATTTAGTAGGTTAGTACCAAGTTCACAACAACGCTTTATCCTAGCATCATTTGGCTTGGTTACCGATAGTTTATTGTAGCGTAGTTATTACTAAATCAAATAAGGTAAAGGATTATTGGAATCGGAGAAATTGTACAGTAAAATCCAAGATTCTAACAATCCTGTTTATTGTAGCGTAGTTAGTAATGAATCAAATAAGGCAAAGGATTATTGGAATCGGAGAAATTGTACAGTAAAAACCAAGATTCTAACAATCCTGTTTATTGTAGCGTAGTTATTAATGAATCAAATAAGGCAAAGGATTATTGGAATCGGAGAAATTGTACAGTAAAATCCAAGATTCTAACAATCCCAACCAAATCAAGTCTATTTCTGTAGTGGAAATGACGAAATCCAATCCAATTATGATATTGTCAGATTTTCTATATAAAACACTTTAATACCGCTATTACAACATAGCTTAGAACGCTATGTTAATAACTATAGAAAAATTGGATATTTATCGTGGAAGTAAAAAGAACAAAAAAAACTTGGATTGAAAGACATCGTAGTGTAAACGCGCATAGTACGAAAGCAGATGATGGATGATACAGTTGCAGTGTAGTAACATTGCATACTGCATTATTGCTAGTGTTGCAAAACCATTTATCATTTATAAATCAGATTGGTAATTATAATAATAACAACATGGCTCTATTTACTTATCATCAAAATTGAATATCATACTGTGCTGGGTAAAACTCCCGACTGTAAAGGGGTCTATTTTGTTATACCGTATGGAAATTAATGAATGAACAACTGCAACTTTCTATGCATATTGTCTGTCTATATGATGCTATCGTACTAGAGACGTTGCAAACATTTATTACAAAAACTGATATGGTCGCCTAGAAACAACACTAAATTTTACCTTTGTATCTTGGCCTCGCCAATAAAGAACATTGCCTTTCGTATTCACTTTTAATGTGCAAACGTGCGCCACTGCATTATCCTAAAATTGAAAAAAATAATCAACATTTTAATGTTTCATTAGATTATTGAGCGATTTTAGTCCAGTCTATACTGGCATATTGTAGGATAAGGCATTGCGAAAAAGGATACTCTGCTAAAAGTGGACCACTTCAGAAGCGTATAAAACTTCCAAAACCAACAATAAAACGTTGAAGCTCTAATACCCTTCTTTTAAGCCTATTTCATGCAGGCAATGCTAATCTTGACGCAGTTGCTACCAGTTACCTATTGCAGTAGACTATTTCCTATCTTATTGCGATAAATTAGCTGATATTGTTTAAAAAGTCGTCTATTATAGTGCAATATGATGTTTTTTTATCACGCAATGTAGGTATTGGTACTACAATATGCCTTAATGTCATAAAAGTAGGATATTTCTTGTTTACCCTGACAGCATGATGATCAATACTGTGTAGTAAATTGTGGAGAGAGATTGGATTGAGTGGTAGACTTGTCGACCGCTGTCATGGGATGTAGGTTTAAGTTGTCAAATTGGTGCAAGCGGCTATCCGATAGCAAATTAGATTCATTCAAGTCAACACTAATCGATAGTTCAATGTGGATTGAATGTAAACGAATCAAAATAGACGATCCTGTAGTGTACATCTCCTGTCTTGACAATTTGCAATGATTGTCACCAAGTAATTCTTTCAATAGCAACAAAGGAAGAGATTTAAGAAAGGGCTCTAGTTATTGCTTGTAGTCGGTTTAGTTGGACATCATATGTCAAAACGTCAATAATAACTTGAGCAATTTCTTCATTTTATCTCACCCACCTTTGCAGATCACTTTTACTCCAAATTTCACTAATGCTGCCGGCTAGAAGAAGAATCATTTTCAACCCATAGGTCATGATATCAACATGGTTGAAAACAATCAGTTCTTCATTTTGTTACTACACAGATGTTGTGATAGTTTAGTAAGCTCTTATGACTGAATTAGGCTCCTCCATATGGGCATGTGTTTTTTTTACTCATCATCATTGTGGCTGCATGTAATAATAGACAGCGATTGGATCACAAAGGAAGGGTGGGGAAATTTCCTTTGTAAACTATAGGTACAGCGATAAAAGTAAAGCGAGCAGGAGCCATTTTACAAAGTCAAAATGGGCCAAATTTTCATGGAAATAGTGTACTAATCTATTGATGATATCAGTCTTTGGACTGGCTATCGTGTAGATCAACTTGAATGAAGCGATACCGTCGATTATTTGCATAAAATGGATCAAGAGTCGATATTAATGCAATGGTCAAGACATGGGCAATTTTCGCCTTGTCAACAATCGATTTTAGACCCATTCGATAGACTCGTATGATGATAATGAGATTAGGACATACGGGCGATATGTCGCCTTGAATTTTGTACTGTTGGTTAAATTGAAGGGAAAAGTATTGGTCTACTTCTAGTACGATAGGCAGTTTGAGCAGATGACAGTATGCCCTGATGAAAGATTCGATTGTCTTGAAAGGGCTATCGTTCTCCAAGTCGGGAATTGATCGCAACGGAACTTTCAGAAATTGACGTAGCATAGTGCAATAAATCACATCAGGTTTATTCCAACATCTATCCTATCCATACGAGTACGCGTTGTTCTTGATCTGGTAAACAGTACGATTGAGGCTAACACTACTCCTACGGATCTGTCCTTCTTTTCCATGATAATAATGAATTGATTATTATACAGTACAATCTTTATAACTTACTTTGATCTATTTCGATTGCCATTTTTTTTTTCTACTTCCGATTCCTTGCATTGTATGCGATGAAGTAAAGTACGTGTAGGACTAGCAAGATTGAACATATGTTCTTGTACATTTTTTTTTATTTTGGTTATCACTTCAAAGTCGAGTCATGATTAATTATGACAACATTCTTGAGAGAGAGAGAGAGAAGGGGGGGGGGGAAAGTTATTCCTTTGGATACGGACATGGACTGTACTTTACAGTAGTTGGAAGTAAAAGTGTAGCAATCATGCAAGTGCAAAAGACGAAAACGTTTATCAGCGTCTAAATCAATACAATGGTTTGGTAAACGGGAGATAGTTTGGTTATATCATACATTGATAGGATTAGGTCAAAGTTGAATGTCTACTGTCCAGTATTGTCGTTCTACAGCGTTTTTCTATCATTTGTTTGGAGTGAGTAGAGCAATAATGGAATGACCTACTGTAAGATTGGATTGTACCGATGTGGAACATCATCCATGCAATGTTGCACTTTCTTTTTTTTTACATTGGCAAGCCTACTTACATCATCCCATCGTATAAATTTTCCTCCTTTTACCAAGATGTCGCTGACCTCTGGATATTTCAGGCGCTTAACGTTAATTTTGGCGTCGGCCATACTGACCGGCTACGTATGACCGTAGGCGAAAATGGAATTTTCAATTGGATTGCCGAGACTGGAGAATAATTTTGCTGTTGTCAATTGAGAAGAAATGGTCATGATAAGATCGGAAAATGATGCTAACGACTATTTCATTGGTATCATCATCCACTTACTTTATAATTGACTTGCAGTAGTTTTGACTGTTGCTGGCTAGCGTAGAGGATGATTTTGTCGTCACAACGACGACGAGGATAGTGTTGGGACACCTTGTTATTTTGCCTTGTTTGGGATTGGGTGTTGTGATTGTTGCGCGTGATGGACACTTTGGGGCAGTCGAGGAGAGAATCCGTGGAGGTAATCAAGTCATTCAATTTGATAAAACAGCGTTGTATTAGCATGAAAATATCATCTTGGAAGCAGCAGGATGTACAGTATACCACTGGATACAATGCGGTCTATTTCTGTATCATTGACGTTGATTGGATAATGTTCAACCAATGGTGGTATCCTACCTACTGTAGTTAGTGGTGCAAGTTGGAGGAGAGAAATTGTCTAGGGTAAGATTGTATGGTGTCGACGCGGAGAATGAGGGCAAATTTTCACCTTGTATTTTTCCACGCCTTGAATTGAACCTTTTTTTTTTCCCCTTTCCTGTAACGTTGAAGACACTCCGAATTGAAACTACAAGCGATCAAGCACAGTACTGATGAATTGATCGTTAACACTACAGTAATAATTAGAATTGGATGAAGATCGAGAGAATGTAAAGTTAGTCCAATAATAATGAAGCAAGTGCTAACACACAACAGGACATGGGTGATGGAAAATGAGTTTGGAAAAAACGGCTTAACGGTAAAATTGCATTACTCGACACGGTACAGTACTGTACTCTCTCCTTTGCCGTGTAGAGTGTGCACTGTAAAATGACAGCCTTGATTTACTGTTGTACATGTTATATGGACGTTATGATATTGATTCTTTTGCATGATGATATGGATGAGATCATCATCATTCCTACTATAGACTGTATAGCAAGTGGTAGCCTACTGGCTACATGGTGTGCATTTTCAAGTCCATTTTACTTCTTGTGCAAGACTGTACTGTACACTGTACCGGATGGTGTCTATCGCCACTGGCTGTTTGTGCAAGTTTGCTTTACTCTATCTCCTTGGCTCTCTTTCTACTCTACTTACTGTACACTACTAGTATGCATAGAATAGGCACACAATATGTAGACGAAAGCTGGTTTACATAGCAAGGGGAAATTTTGCTTTCGCTACTGTTGATACAAAGCAAACGAAAAGTTGCATTCGTCTTGCTATTATCCTTGATTGGCAACAGCAACGACATTGATTGGTTGTCAAAGTCAATACACATGCTTTGTCAATAAAGACCAATAGAAAGAACGTGACATCATCGTTTAAGTGTTTTCCTATTCAATTTATTAGATACGTTATTGTTATAGCGTTTCTTTTCTTCTTTCTATTGTATTCTTTTGTTGATATGATGATGATTGCATTCTTACTTCAATAAGGCACCCGTTCCACTAGACTTGCTAAAATAAATGGTGCTTGAGTACCCAGTAGTTACTTGCTTGTGGCACCATCAAAAAATATACGACGTGATTATGTCCTTAAGTCCTTGAAGTGAATGCAATCTTAAGTCCACCGTAATAGCCGCAGTAGTAATCCAATCCAATCTCTATCTTGACTGTAACCAACTACATTGACGTCCTTGAAGTGAATGCAAACCCAAGTCCATCATGATAGCCGCAGTAGTAATCCAATCCAACCTCTATTTTGACTGTAACCAACTACATTGACGTCCTTGAAGTGAATGCAAACTCAACTTCACCATGATAGCCGCAGTGGTAATGGAATCCAACCTCTATTTTGACTGTAACCAACTACATTGACGTCCTGAAGTGAATGCAAACTCAAGTCCACCATGATAGCCGCAGTAGTAATGGAATCCAACCTCTATTTTGACTGTAACCAACGTCCTCGAAGTGAATGCAGACTTAAGTCCACCGTGATAGCCGCAGTAGTAATCCAATCCAACCTCTATTTTGACTGTAACCAACTACATTGACTTCCTGAAGTGAATGCAATCTTAAGTCCACCGTGACAGCCGCAGTAGTAATCCAATCTAACCTCTATTTTGATTATAAGCAACTACATTGAAGTTTGAAGCATCATCTTCAACGTCAATTCTGATCTACTCTATCAACCAGCCAATTAAAATGCTAATGGATCGGAAATTTGTCGTGAACATGGAAATCTCCCTAAAAGGTCGACTTTTACCAATCAGGCCATACAGTACATACTATACAAAGTTTCCTGCGTCCGTAAACTGCCGCAAATGCTACTCTACCATGTTACTACAGAAGTAAAATGATGTACTGTCACTACTGTATGATCTACCGTATATGGAAGTTAGCAAGAGTATGAAAAATATTGGTGAGATACCCTGGTAAGGAGGGGAAGTAGAGGCTAAAGATCTTGATGCGTATTTACTACGCTTCTGCGACAGCGATCTTAATCTATAGACCACGAGCGTATTATTTCTTTGACCAAAGTAGAAGCGCTTAAGCTTTCTCGGCCATCCTCATTGACGGTACTAAATCAACACACATTGGTATTGTATTTGCATATTAACAATATCCTAAACATTGCAGAGGACATCTGCGAAGAGTAAAGAAAGTTGTAAAATGCACCCATCGATCAAGGACACTGATAAATGATGTGTACATTAATTCAGTCTCTCTGTACTCGTACAGTATGTACACTTGTACAGTATGCTAAATTATACTGTACCGTCTTCTGTCTACAGTACACTGCATGCTGTACAGTACTGTATACTGTGTCATAGTGTGTATTAGTGTATTGTAACCCCACTACGACTAAACATTTAATCCGATTGAAAGCGCTACATAAAATCCGAAATCCGATCCGAAAATTGTATAGTGTATACTGTAGGTCAAAGTCACAGACGGAAAGATAAATGCCAACTTGATTTAAATGACAAATCGATCATTCATGCATCATTGATGAGAAGAGGCTCGATATAGGGATTGTTGAAACGGTGAAAAGACTGGTAATTTGGTAGATTGCAATTTTGGCATTTTAAGTTGCCCTTAATAAAATTATATTTACCCTCGAAAACGCTGCTATAAACAACTACGAGTTGTTGTGTAGCTGTACTTTCTGTTCATCAACGATTGCTATGAGGTATGTAGCGGCTAGTCAGAATGCGCACCATTTTCTAATGTAGTAATAGGAATGCCGCTCCATTTCTGCTTACAGAGATGACACAGTAAGTTAGAATATTGACTATGCGATACTCTTGGAGATTCAGTAAAAAATGAAATATCAGTACATCGTTATGTTATCAATTGACTTGATCTTCCTTTTTATAGCATAACCTAGAAAACTGCCTGGATACGGGTATGTTGAGCAGCCCTTGATGGTTTACCGTATTTGGAATATCAATCTGCCATACTATTGGGAGGTAAATCTTCGTACGATCGCGTATAATGCTGTACATACTAGCTTAATTTTCTGTCGCTTCCCCAACACAGATACTGTACCATGCGTGGTATGTGTAAATGTGGTAGCCCCTTCTGTTAATACCCGATAATCTACATTTATAGAATATACTCGTAGTTGTACGGGTAAAGCAAAGTCAGCAATGCCTTATTGGAAAATTTGAATCAAGAAAACGTACAGCATTTGTCATGACAGCATGATCGTTTGTGGATATTGAGTGTGCGTTGTGGACTATTGGCAAAAGTGCGATATATTGTATGCATGATGCAGTTGTTATACTCCACCATGGACACTGTGTCAGATTTGGCAACTGCTGGAAGTGAAGATATCCATGGCACCATCGCATGGGATGCTGTACTTGTGTCCTATTCATGTAAAAAGTTGCAGCAACTTGTTTGACTTTAAATTACACGTATTCTCTATCTGTCCTGTACTGTTTCTATCTGACTGTCACAAACCAGCTTCGTGACAAGGATAACGTAAAACAAATCTCTTTATTACTATAGTCTCCGGGATTCAGTATCCCTTAACTACCTCACAAGAATTTAGACGCCTTTAATTCTACGTTAAACTCAACTAGACAATTGAGAACTGCTTTATTCAACTATCTGACGGGCTTATATACCCTTCTACAGCAGCTAACATTCACAAGTCATCTTATAAAAATACTTGGGTGAGAACATCTACTAACTAGTTTTTCACAGTCGGACTACAATATGTCCATTCACAGAATCATTTCAGTACACATTACAGCACAGCATTAAATTTACTGTAACACATTTATAATTAGAGTAATTCCTATTGCAAGGAACTAGATGTAATATATTATCACTATATTATATTAACCAAA